CGACACTGGATTGTGAACCGTCCAATATGTTCAATAGTGGATTGACCAACCTCTCCAGAAAATAAAGTGAATTCAGGCACTTTAAAACCCCTTGAAAAAGGACTTTTTATGATCAATGATGTCTTGGAAAATAAAGTGAATAATATGAGCTAGTTGTTTCTACAGACCACGTTGTAATAGTTGGGCTAATGGAACTTGTGGCTGGAGGAAATCCCTTGGATGGGGTTGATGGTGAGGACCCACATTTCCCCTCCTAGCTGGCAATATCTACTTGTGTTGAGGTTGATAGCCATGGTTTCCAACAGGAGCAGTAGCCTCCATCAGTTTGTGTTGTTGTTGCCGTTCATCCATGAAGAAATTTTGCTGTTGAACATTGGGATGAGGCTAATTTCCTTGCTCCCCAAGTGCTTGGATTGGGGCTTTTTTAATTTGTCTGGGCATTTCCACGGCTAGAAGAGGAACCTCAGTTCTAGGCTATCACACTTGCTCAACTACTTGTTCTAAAATAGCTTGCAATGTTTTGCGACTTTCATCTCTAGTTTCACACATCACCCTAGTACGTTCCTCAAAAACCCATGTCAATTCAACCATATATTGTCTTATCGCCTTAGAATGTTGTCTGGAAGATTCTGCTTGATTCTCAACAAGTTTCTACATCATCTGGGTTTGCTCTCTACCTGCTAACTTCAGACGTTCAGTCAAGCTTTTAATTACATTGCTTGATTTCGCAAAATCATCTTTGTGGTCTGCATCCTTTTCCTTGAAAATTGGATTGCTATAAGATCGCTCCACAAAGGGTGATAACAAGGGAGGAACAATTGGGTCATTTTCCCCCTCCAAATGGACTCGGTTGTCATCTACATGCTCAACCTAGGCTGGCTGAACCTCTTTGTCTCTATTCTTTCTTGATGGCATGGCTTTAGACACTTTTGGATATATAAACAGAGGATCTATGAACCTTAATTGATACACCTTGTTGGTTGTCCCACCAGGCGTGCCAACAAAGGTTTCCTAAAAAATTCTTAGCTGGCCCTAACCACGTGAGCTTGGGTATAAGGCGTGCCACTTGCTTTGTCTAAAAATAAGAAAATAGGATTTTCTAGATGACCATTCTCCTTTCCAATAGTCGACCTCCAAAAGGATGACTTGAAAGAATGTCTGTGAAATAAACTACACCCCATACGATGTTGCAAAACAAAGGGTGGAGTCCTGCAAAATGGGTTATTAATTGCCTTGGACATCTTCGAGGACTTTACAACCACTAAAGTGTAATAAAAGCTACAAATCCTAAAACAAACACAATATCCTAAGGCAATTAATCTAACATGAAATAAATAAAAGAGAATAACATGTCACAAAAATAAACTCATAGACAACAGACTATGCAGGATTACAGACACTAATTTTAACTTTACGAACCATAAGAATTAAACTAATTACTCGTAGATTTAAAATAAAAATAATTGAACTACTTGACAACTAAAACTGAAGGAGAATCTAAGAAACAATCAAAGTTTGAAAACTTGCAAAATTAAATATTAATCTAGAAATTGAAATTAGACAAATTGCAAGTCTGGCAGTTGCGTAGAAACAAAGGAAAGAAGGCGGAAAGTATTCAACCTATTTACATAAACAAATAACGAAGATGAATCCATGAGAGAAAGAAAAACTAACAAAATCAACAAGGTAGACCTGCACAAGGTCGAATTGCTTTTGAATCCTTAAAAAGTAACCAAAGTTGTAACGTTAGAGGGAAAATATGAACAAGGATGGAAAAATCTAAACCAAAGTTGTGAACAACAACAGATCTTGCAACCTAATCTAGAAATTATGCTGAAATCTGGAAGAAATAGTATGAAAGTTGAAAAAAACATATGCGTTAGGCAATTTCTGTGGGGCAAGCCATCTATTTTGATTTCTTCCTCTTGTTTTCCTTTTCTTCGATGCTGGGAACCTTCCTCCATATTTTTGGGCCCTTTCCCACCATGATCCAGTAGCATGGACTTCACATCTAGACAATTTTCCTTTGTCTGGCAATTGACAGTTTTAACCTAATTTAAATTCTAATAAAATCCTAGAAATAATCTTCTCTTAAAAACACCCAACTTCGTAATTTAAATCAAATTCAAACGCCAGAAAAGACACCATATCATATACCACATAAATCTGGCTCCCTTTAAAGTCCATCTAAGCCATAAAATTTTAAGCTGGCCCAACCCAATTTAGCTTGCTGACTCTCCTTAATAGTTGGGTTTCAACTCGACATGTGATCTCACCCTATTGGTTTTATTTTAGTTGTAAACACTAAGATTGTCCAAAAAGGATCGCCAAAAACCTCTCAAAAGCTGATAATAAGTGGGTATTTATAAGAGTTTAAAAAAATTAATTGAAATAGATCATGAGATACACATCAAAATAATAAGTACCAAAAATCACCCAAGGTATCCATATCCTAAAGAAGTGCCAATACCCTCACCGTATCTGTGAAGTAAGAGGCCATGGCGGGGACTTTGGTCCAAAATCGCCAAAATGCAATTTTGGTTGTAAATTGGTAAAATTGTTCTAGTCCCTTATCTTTTTAACAATTGACACTTTGATCCTTATAGTTTTGATTTCTTTGGTTTGGTCCTAAATACTCAATTTCTTCCAATTAGGTCTTTTCTTACAAGAAAAATAAAAATTATATAAAATCAAGTAATATCTTCTTCTTCTTCTTTTTTTGTATTAACTTCTTGGTATCCGATAATTACATTAGATCCTGATTAATTTGCAGTCGAGTTATATTAGATCTTATAAAGGGGGAAACTCTTTCAATGCTTATTTTTCCGTTCACATGACTCAAATTCGAAACCTTATTTAATAGAAACCGAACTCCTTCCACTTGGACTATAACAGGTCGTTGGTATCTAGTAATATCTTATAAAACTCATTTAAATATTAATAATATGAAAATAAAAATTCTACATGAATATATATAAAAATTCAACTCATCACTCATATACATCCAAATAGATCCAAAAGGGCCAATAAAAGTGCAACACATGAAAAACACTCCCAAATAACCTATAAATAAATAAACTCACCCCATAAAGGTAAAAGAACTCTTTCCATAGCTCTTCTCTCTCTATTGTGCTTCTTCTTCTCTAAAAGAGCTCTAAGCATAGAGTATTACTAATTTAAGTGTAAGAGTGTCTATTGTAGAGAACAACCCCCAAGTCTGTTTTGCAAGTCTCTTTGTTGGTCAACTCGTGGGCAACCTGAGTATATTTTTTTGCTTCAACACTTTTGAACGTATATCTACTTAAGTTGCGTAACCAATAATTACATTATTCAATCCTAATATTTTAAACCAATTTACATATAATCCAGACTTTACTTTAGAATTATATTTTGAATTAAAATTGTTATATTTAATAATTATTGCAAAAAAAGCATGGATGAACTATGCCTAAGCAAAGCGTGCATGGTTTGAGGCCTAGTTTAATAGTTTATAATTAAAATTTATGAAACAACTTAATTAGTCATAAATTAATGAATTTATCAAATAAAATATAATATATATTTTTATAACATTAAATTCAAAAATAATACACTATTTTTTGGTACATGATATATACCGTAGCACTAACAAAATTGATATACATATTAATACAATATTAACAATTTTGATTCGAACATACTCTTTGTGTTATCGGGTAGAATAGGAACTATCTATCGCTTTCTTACCTTAACAACCCAAAAAATCTCATGAAAGATGTTCTTAACAATTGCAAGAAATAAATTGGTATGGAGTTACTTCTAGAGATAACAATTTCCCACTATTCAATAGAGCTTTGTGGATTTTCAAAAAAAAAAAAAAAAAGAAAGAAAAAAACTAGAGCTTTGTGGAGATCCCTAATGAGGGCATTCCACCCCCTCCCCTCTCCCCTCAAAAAATAAAAAAAATTACAAGAAACTTTTCCCGCCCCACAAAGCTCCATGAGATCCCATCCCCTGCATAAAATTAAAAAAATATAATATATACTATTAAATTCAGGTACACAACCCACAATCATTATTCATTTTTGGTTAAACCCCTATTTTGGTCCTTGAACTATTATACGAACCCCTGATTTGGTCCCTAAACTAAAGAAATCCCTAATTTGGTCCTTGAACTATTGTACAGACCCCTAAGTTGGTCCCTAAACTATTGTATGGACTCCCAAGTTAATCCCTAAACTATTGTACGGATGCCTAATTTGGTCCCTACTGTTTACCAATTTAACCCCAACTTGATCCTTCTGTTAAATAATAGCTCAGGGATCAAATTGGGGCGAAATTGTAAACAATAAGGACCAAATTGGGGGTCTGTACAATAGTTCAAGGACCAACTTAGGCCAAATTATAAACAGTGGGGACCAAATCGGGGGTCCGTACAATAGTTTAAGGACCAAATCAAGGATTTTTTTAGTTTAGGGACCAAATTGAGGGTTCGTACAATAGTTCAGGGACCAAAATGGGAATTTAACCTTCATTTTTAGTCCAAACTTACTTTAACAGTGCGCTTCTTTTAAATAAAACCCAATCCATTAAGCATTTTAATATTAGATAATAAAAAATAAATAAATTAGATGCAAATGGAAAAACTTAAATGCCTAATTGTATTTTTCTTTCAATTAACAATTCAGACATCACCGGAGATTTGTTAGTCGAAGAAACTCAGTTTTGCTTAAATAAAATCTTGAAGTCTTATAAATGGAAAGGTAAGCATTAGAGAGTCCTCTTACATTACTTGATTTTAGATTAATTGAAATCAAATGTGACTCCTGAATATTGAGTTAATAAAAAAAAAATCACATATCATGTTCCATTTTATGTAATACATATGTTTAGATTGTGGATGATTATTGCAATTACTTAAATAATTTTGTGATCATCTCCTTTTGCTGGAAGTAAAAAGTCCTGAATTTGAGTCGCATAGCATGTTAATGAGGAAGAATAAAAAGTGAGATAGTTGTCTCTCATTGTGCAATCAATATTAAAAAAAAAAAAGAAACCACGGATGATTATATTAGTTTGAAACACCTGCCTCAATGACCTTCAGAGTGACAGGAAGAAGCCTCAACATAAGAAGCCAGTGCATATACATTTGGATTAAGGATAAAGACATGCAGTGACGTGCTAGAGCCCTAATATGCAGCAGGGGTCTCAGAGGAAACAGAGAACCTAGAGTCGCTAATATGCCTTTCTTGAGAAATGTCCCTTTCTATTCTATTGGATCTGTTCACCGATTCATTTTCTTCCTTCCTGGAACCATTTGATGACATATCATTCCGTTTCCTTTTTGAGCTGCTTTTGTGTCTCTCTACCTTCCCATCAGCAAATGACAGAAATGTTTGCAGACGTGCAGAACGAGAGCTGCCAGGGGTGGAAGGATCAGATACCTCTGCAAAATGCCTGTTGAATTGGCGAAACATCAAGCAGAAGTATAAGAGGAGAGCAAGAAAACATGCAATCCCACAGATCAGGAATAGACCCCAGAAGCTTTGTAATTTCAGCTGTTCTGAACCAGAGTCAGAATCCTGAGAATCGCAAACCTTTCTTGACAGCCACTTATCGTGGATCTTCTGAAGTTTGCCATTCTCAGATAAACTAAGTATGGCAGTTGACATGTCAACAGCTAATGGAGAGTCTCTAGGAAATGCCTACAAAAACACAAATATTGGAAATTATTTGCTATAAGTAATAAAATTAAGACAGGATACTTCTGAATCAATTAAAACAACATATTTATACATATGTTAGGCTTAGACTATCATGGCTTGAGACCACATCCTTGACTTCCATTGATTTGTGTTTTCCTCTAGTTCCTATAGAACTTTATAAGATCTATAATTGTTCTTCCCACAGATATTGTTCTACTTATTTTGCATAAGAATTACCTACTACTTTAGGATTTATATATTTGTTAACTTAATTGATTCTGGATGCCTTTCATTAACCTTCCACATTAAATAACTTGCGTAAGCATCAAATAGGAAGCAACTAGTTCAATTGCCAAATGATAAATATTGCCATGTTAACTCAGATCAGTGGATAAACTGGAATATGCAGAGAAAATGTGAACTACAATTGAAATTAACCAAGCTTCATATGAGATACTCACAAATCCCCACCCACTTTTGGTAAACTCTTGTCCTCTGATTGAGAATTCACAATGGTCGGAGAGGAAGAGATCAATGTATGGTCGTTCATCAACAACCGCAGCCACAGTTCCATTCTCAAGGGCAATAGCATACGCTTCTGGTGAGCCAAGAGCAATAAGTCGAGATTTTGGAATATTCAGCTCCTCAGTCATATAGTTTTCAGCAAAAGACCCTACTTGGAAGCCTATTCGTTCATTGCTAGTTATCAAGGTATCAATTCCACTAACTGGTGATGATAACTGTTGCACTGTGAGAAATGATGTCAAGCTTGCAGTATAGCTTGAGTTGATTATCAAGACTACAAAAAGCCAAATGATCAGCACAACACGTCCAAGTGTGCTTACTGTATTTTCTCCTGAAAATGTGGAGAATTCAGATATTATTATAACTGCCAGGCTAATTCTATATTCTTACGAGATTATGTGAAAATTGTAATTATGGAAATAGCTTACTATGGGCAAAAAACATTGTAGAAAAGCTGAACCTGCATGCAGAGAAAAGAAAACAGCAAACAATGAGTTGTGGAACGAAAAGGGAAAGCTATAGATGAAATATAAACAAACCTAAAACTGACTTTGTATTGTACCATGTGCGATTTGAAACAAAACATAGGATTTTTACCATTACCTTTTATCCAAAGAAGAAAAAAATTCTCACTAAAAGGTTCAAATTATGTATGTCTTAGATGCTGTATGCTTTAGTTTCATAATACAAAAACACCTCATTTGGAGATGCGATGGATACCTGTAAAAATAGAAATGTTTCATAGACGAAAACATGGATGGGGGTGTGGGGGTGAGAGGTAACCAGCATAATGTTCTATGATTACCTTCCTTCACTCCATCAAACTAAAACATCAAAAAGATAAGCATCTCTAGAGAGATTCATCATATACTCACCACAAAATTGTGACTATCTGTTGCTTGGGAGGCCCTCGAAATTCATCATTTATTCTATGTTCCAGAATCCACACAACTACTCCCACGACAAGGAAAAAAATTGCTGTTACTCCCCACATCCATGGGGTAAATGGCCGTAAGAAAGTCCAAGGGCTCGAACTTATCTTTTTGGCTGGAGCCACAACAACAAGCCCTGATTCTATATATGGCTGAGTGAAATCTACCATCTTTGTTCGGTTTGTGACTATTGCAATGTCGCCTACAGCACCATCAAAAACCTACATAACAGAAAAAGAATGACAGAATTAGTAGAAATTATGCCCTCCTTATTTAGCTGTTAGAAACTAAGCAAGTAATTCTTTTCATTGAAATTTACTCACTCCAGAAGTGATATAATAAACAAGCTCATTGTAGTTAGGATTTTGATGACCATCTCCAAATGGAACAAACTTGTATGGAACTGCATAAGGCAGCAACTTTATGGCCTCTTGAAAAACTTCTATGCAATATCCTTGAACAGTATCAGTCCCATTGATTTTTGAGACAAAGTCTTGATAACTAACTCGATTTGGAACTCCAATTCTTAACTGCCTTCCATTGTCAGGCAAAACCCATCCACGAGGTGTATTTGTTTCTCCCCCAGGCCATACCACACCGCCTAAATGTTGGTTGGAACTAGAACGGTTAGACTTTTTCTGATAGAGAGTCTCTGGGGGCACAACAGATAGCCCAGAATGGTTAGACCAGTATCCGATCTGCTGATACCCAGTTTTAATAGCATTTATAATGTCATATGAAGGATTTAAGAGGGATCTGTCTTGATTAAATACAATAGGGCCTGCCAGACCTGCCATATTGGTTGCCAATATGTTGTTAAGCAACTGCTTCCCTCCATCAAATATACTCAATGCAGACAGATTCAGGGTCCCTCCTTCAAAACCACTTAATTTTTCATCAATTGAAAATGAAATGTTACCACCCAGATCCAAAAACAGCTTCACTGCATGAGCAATAATCCAAACAGTATCATAGGCATATAGACCATAAGGATTGAAACCGATAGAGGCATTACTGAGCTGGTTCCAACGTGACATAAAATCTCTTTTTCTTCTTGAGTCAGGTGTATGTGGGCGAAGTGTGAGTGCTCCTTGGATAGAGTTGGCTCTCTTTGAGGGAAGAGGAGCCTGGGAATCTAGAACGGTGGAAAGCCAAGTAGTGGCTATCCAAACATACCCCTTCTCCATCATTCCAAGACTCTTGGCCACATCAAAAACTAATAGACCTGATAGCGTTGAGGTATGAAGAACAATAATTCGGGATTCCATCATTTGAACCTTACGTAATTCATTGATGATATCACTTTGTGATGTTACATCTGGTGGAAGTGCTACTTTATAAGAAATTTTGCAACGTCTCTCAGCAAGCTTATCACCTAATGCAATTATACCATTTCTGCCAGAATCATCATCACTATAAATTGCAATTACATTAGCCCAACCAAAATAACTAATCATCTCAGAGATGGCAATCATCTGGAATAAGTCACTAGGTGCAGTTTGAACAAAGAAAGGATACTGTAGAGGTGACAAGCTGGGGTCAAGGGCTGTGAATGATAATAAAGGAACCTGGAGTTCATTTGCAAGATGTGATAGCACATGCGCCATCACAGCTGTTTGTGGACCAATTATAGCTATGGTATCAGTTTCCATAAACTGCAATGCTGTGATGAGCAAGGAAATATGAATTATGAGTACCATTAGTTAACAGAGTTCTTCTCCAAAAGGGGATATAAACCAATGCTATGATGGTTAAAAAAATATGAATCTCAGGAACTATGATTTAGCCAAGAAATAGCACTAAACACTATAGCTGAAAGTCAAGGAATTATAACAACTTAACAAGGATTGAACAAACTCAGTAAATAGATAACTAAAGTAGGAAAAAGCAACAAGTGATTAGTAAGAACTAACCTCCAATGATGCCAAGAAATCCGCTGAAGTTGGAATCGTGCATGGTTATAGACAATTTCCTCCCACCAAGAATGCTAGGGTCAGAATTAATATCAGCCTCAGCAGCCTTCATGGCAATCTTTGAAACTTTCCCATTAATAGTACTAAAAGTGAATATTGCTCCAACGTTCAAAATTTCCGGCTCCGAGGCCCCTTCCAAAAACTTTCCGATGTAGAGAAGAATCAAAGTTGACAACAGCACAACCAGCTTCATGGTGATGCAAAATCAAGAATTTGACCACCTAACATCAAGCATGAAAGACAAATGAACATAGGGCAAATACAGATTATCAAGGAACTACGAGCCAACTCTATATCAATATCAGAATCAGTTTAAAGCAGCATAGCAAAATCAACTCATAAAACTAGCATTCATGGAGAAAAAGGTAAATACACAGTTCCAGGGCAGGTAGCAAGCTTGACAGATTCAAAAGGCAACGGAGCTGGAAAAACATCTAAGAAACTTGATTTGCTACATAATTCTTGAAGAGGAACAGAGAAATCCACTTCCAGTTCGTCATAGAGAACCAAGACCAATTAATTAACCAATCTTGTTAAGAACTAAGAAGGATACAGCAAGCAATACATCACAATTTTTTACTTTGTACTTGTGAGCTGTAAACCGGATAAAGAAAATAGAAAGCAACGAAAAGTGAGTGTTAAGGTGATTTCTGGTTATCCTGAGGAATCAAAGCTCACCTCAAGCTAAAGGAATAGCATCAAGAAGGCATCCAAATGAGGGTCAGACACAAAACCATTTTCTCATGGGGGAAAAGGGGAGCAAGATGCATAAAGACAAAGAAACCCAAAAGGAGATGTGATATCAGCATTCAATATCCACTGGAACCGTGAATAATAAAAATAAAAAAGAATAAGAAATAAAAAAACAAAAAACGAACAAACAAAAAAATACAAGAAGTTAAAAAGAATCATAAAAACACCCACCAGATGAAAAGTTGTAGGCATCACAACACCTACAACGAAGAGAAGAAGCTTACAAGTGGGGGCAGAAGGCCCTAACCCGTACTTTAATTGTTTTCTACTGTCAACACTCTTAATAAATTTTTTTCTATAATTAACACCCTCAACTTCTCCAAACCCTTAAAAGGCACTAAGTTTGAGGAAAATTGCACCTCACGTTGCTCTTAAGTTCCGTCCAATTATGCTTATGTGGCACTGTCTTAATGACATGGCAATTGCTACGCTGATATAAGAAAATTGATTTTGGAATAATTTTTTTATATTATTTTTTATATAATTTTATATATTATTTAAATAATTAATTTTTTGATTTATTTAAGATACATTATATTCAATATATTTATTTATTTAATAATAAATAAAAATTATTTAAAAAATAATATAAAAATATTATTCTTATACTATTCCGATAATATAACAGTTGAGTTTTAGGGTAATGATATTAGGAGAAATTTTTTATAAACTTTTAAAAAAATTTTTATGTATCATTAATAAATAATAAATGTATATAATATTAAATAATTTTAAATAAAATACAATTTTAACTTTTAAATAATGCATAAAATTGTATAAAAATTATATAAAAAGTTATACTCAATTATTTTTTGTTGTTTCATTCAAAATTACGAAAAAAAAAAAACTAATTTATTTTCAAAATTACTCTTCTTTCCAGTTCAAATTTGCAAAAGTATACCTTTCGTCTTCCTACTATTTTCCTTTACTGTACGTATTTTTCATTTTCAAACTTATTTATGGGGGTTTAGTTTCTGTAGTAATGAAGGTTGGATTTGTCGAACAAGATTTGGAAGTTCTGATGAATGTAAGGGTGAAAAGAGAGATGGGAAGAAAAAGAAAGAACTCCTTTTCTCTCTCTACTGTGATCCTACCCAAATAAAGAGAACTCCTTTCTTCTCTCTACTGTAACTCGAACCCAAATAAGAAAATGTTGATTTTTCTCTCTTCGCGATTTGAAGGTTAGGATCTAACTGTTCGATCAAATTGATTTTTGTTGAATTAATGTAAAATTTTGATGACACCCCATAAATAAAGTGCTAAAAAACAGACAGATGAAGAACAAGTGATGAACAGAGGAGGTTTAGGGAACATGGAGGAAGAGTTAGATCCACGTTTTGGACTTTTTATTATTTTTTTAAAAAATTTATATTTTATTTTAATTATTTGATGAGTTGTCAAAGGTTATTTTTCTAAATGGAAAATGATTTTGAAATAAATTTTTTATATTATTTTTTAATACAATTTAATGTATCATTTAAATAATTAATTTTTTTTATTTATTTAAAACTTAAAATATTAAATGCATTTACATATTTAATAACATATAAATATTATATAAAAAAATTATGTAAAAAAATTATCTTTATTTTACCGCTCCTCTCAATGGTGACATGTCAGCAAAATAATGTCCATGTCATTAAAAATGCCAACTAAGCAAAAAGTTAACAGAATATAACGTTCTCTGTTAAATTTGGTTCATTTCACGGATTTTGAGAAGTTAGGGTGTTGATGATTGGAAAAAAATTTATTTGGGTGTTGACCATAGATAATAATGAAGTACGAGTGCAAATAGGAGTTTTTGTTAACTTGTCATCGTGGTGGAATATTGGAATACTTGAAGATGGAGGAAAGGAACAACTTGGCAAGTGGGGTAGGCAATATCGTGAATTTTCAATTCAACCTGCTTGCCTTTGTTTCATTTGGTTCTGTTTGCTGCTTGTCATTTCTAAAAAACAGTGGCAGAATAGAAACCTAAGAAATAATATTGGAGGGTTAAATTCAATAAATAATTTATTAAATATATAATTTATTTTAATTTAGTTTAAAAATAATTTTTTTTAAAAATAATTTATAATTTATGAATTTTGTTTTAAAATGATTTACTTGACAAATATTTCATTAACTAGATTAACAAAAAAATTTTAATAGTAGATGTGTGCCCCTAAACTTTTAAAAATTATTAAATATAGTATATATATTTTTATTTTTTTATAACATTTTGTTTTTAAAAGTTAAATTTTATATCTAATGTATTAATTAACTAAAATGAAATTTCAATTTACATTAATAAAGATTTTAATTTTAATTTATAATAATCGATATTATAATTTAAATTTTATTATTTTTAAAAAAATTTAATTTATCATTAAACATTAATATTTTAAATAAATAAACATTTTTAAAATTTAATTTAATTAAATGAGCACCCGCACATAATTAAAATTACCTAAAAAATAAAAATTCATTTTAATTTTATAAATCCCCAAATTAAAATCATGCATGTAATATTAGTGTTAAAAATAAAAATAAGATTTTTTATTTTTTTATACAAATTAGTAAACAAATATATAATTTAATAATGATAGTAAGTTTTTTAAGAAATAATAAAATATAAATTATAATATTGATTATTATAAATTAAAATTA